GCAGTTTTACCACCCCACCTCGTGCCGTGTCTTCCCCTCTCAGGACGTCACGTTTGACGAGTCGGTTCCCTTTTACCGTCTCTTTCCCTACCGCACTGCGCCTCTCCCTCTGGTAGACCCCCTCCCCCCTCAGGGTCCTGCTCCTTCAGGTGTGTCTCAAGTAGGCCCACTCTCCTTCGCTGGGCCTGTAGAGGTCACTAGCGACTCAGGTGCTGCTGCGGGAGGTGGTGCTCGGGGTGCTGCGTTTGGAGGTACTGAGCCTGTGCGTGAGGTACTCGAGGGTGCTGAGCCTGGGGGTACTGAGCCTGCGAGTGCGGAGACTGGGGGTGCTGGGCCTACGGTTGCTGAGTCTGAGGGTGCGGAGCCTGGGGGTGCTGAGCCTGAGCGTGCGGAGCCTGGGGGTGCTGAGCCTGGGGGTGCCGAGCCTGGGGGTGCTGAGCCTGGGGTTGCTGCGCAGGAGCGTCCTTCGGGTGCCTCGTCCCGGCGGGAGCCTCTCTCTCCACGTCAGCTGCGCGAGTGGTTTGCTCAGCATTGGAGCCTCCGTGGTGGAGCTGCTGGAGCTGGAGGCGCTGGGGCTGGAGGTGCCGGTTCTGGGGGTGCTGCTGCTGGAGACACTGGAGTTGGAGGCCCTGGAGCTGGTGTTGTCGACCTTGGAGTTGGAGACACTGGGGCTGGAGGTACTGGTTCTGGGGGTGCTAGAGCTGGAGGCACTGGAGCTGGAGACTCTGGAGCTGGTGCTGTCGACTCTGGAGTTGTGGACCCTGGGGCTGGAGGTGCCGGTTCTGGGGGTGCTGCTGCTGGTGACGCTGGAGCTGGAGGTGCGGGCGTTGGAGGCGCTGGGGCTGGAGGCTCTGGAGCTGCAGGAGGCGCTGGAGCTGCTGCGGGTGCTGGTGATGGTGATACTGCACCGCCACGACTGTTCTTCGCTTTACCGTCGCCATCGTCTCTGTCACCACCTGCCTCCGTACTTCGCCAGGTTCATAGCCTCCCGTCTTCTACTAACCTCCCATTACAGCCAGGCTCACACTGAGCAGACTGACTCGCTTACAGAGCGTCGTGAGCCTGCGTCTCGTCCTGCCTCCCCTGTTCGCACTGTTCGCCGTGCTCGTCGAGTCCCCCATCCGCGTCCTCCTCCTATGCCAGGTACTCACACTATGGCACTTCGTCCTTCCTCTGCTCCGCAGCGTGTCCCCCTGCCGTCTCCTCCTGCGTCTACTCTTCCTGTCGTTCCTGACCCTGCGTCTGACGCTGTTTGTACGTGCTGCTCACCCTACTGTCACGCGTCTGCTCGCCACTGTTGTCAGTGACCCGTCGTTTGAGTTTGCTGCTGCGTCTGCCCTAGTCTCTGAGCTTGTTGACTTTGCTGCTGCTTGTCGTCTTGACTACGCTGCTAGTCTTGTTGCTGAGTCTGCGTCTACCTGTCCTCCGTCCGTCGGGGGTGAGTGTGCTCTTAGCACAGACGTCCTTGAGGACAGGCAGGAGGACCTTGAGTGTCTTGCGGCCGCTGCGCCTCATCTCGTGGCCATGCTGCTTGCCCCTGAGGGAGACCCGGATGCACCAGACATTCCGACCCCGCGCTCTTACGCTGAGGCGATCGCAGGTCCCTACTCCTCTCAGTAGCAAACACCCATGTTCGAAGAGATGGCATCCTGGAAGTCCACAGGCACTTACGTCGATGAGGGTCCCCCTCCTTGGGTGAACATCGTTGATGGCATGTGGATTTTCAGGGTGAAGCGGCCGCGAGGCTTCAGTCAGCGATAGGGAGTTGACTTCTTCCAGACCTTCTCCCCTACCCCGAAGATGACCACTCTTCGGGTGCTGCTGCACGTTGCCGCTCAGCGTGACTACGAGCTTCACTCTCTTGACTTCAGCACAGCTTTCTTACAGGGCAGCCTACACGAGGAGATCTGGCTGCGCCGCCCACCTGGCTTCACTGGGTCGTTTCCTCCTGGTACCCAGTGGAGCCTCCGGCGGCCAGTCTACGGTCTCCGCCAGGCGCCTCGTGAGTGGCATGACACACTGAGGACGACACTTGCGGCTCTTGGGTTTCCTCCTTTGACTGCAGACCCGTCGCTGTTTCTGCGCACCGACACCTCGCTGCCGCCGTTCTACATCCTCGTGTACGTCGACAACTTGGTCTTTGCCTCTGCTAAGACTGAGGCACTCGCCCTTGTGAAGTCGGAGCTGCAGAAGAGACACACGTGCACAGACCTGGGTGAGCTGCGCAGCTACCTTGGCTTGCAGATCACCTGGGACAGAGCATGGCGCACCATCACCCTGACTAAGTCACACATGGTGCAGCAGGTCCTTCAGCGCTTCGGCTTCACTTGGTCCTCGCCACAGTCCACTCCTCTGTCTACCGGTCACTCGCTCTCGCTATCGGACGAGTCCGTAGAGCCGAGTGGCCCGTATCTAGAGCTTGTAGGCTGCCTCATGTACCTGATGACCTGCACTCGACCTGACCTTGCCTACCCTCTTAGCATCCTAGCTCGCTACGTTGCGCCCGGGAGACACCGGCAAGAGCACTAGGAGGTTGCTAAGAGGGTGTTGCGCTACTTGTGCAGTACATCGGGCATGGGGCTGGTGCTTGGAGGACGGGGTGAGGTTGTCCTCACTGGACACTCAGACGCGTCTTGGGTTGACGACCTGGCTACGCAGCGGTCGTCACAGGGTTACACTTTCAGCCTTGGCTGTGGCTCTGTTTCTTGGCGGTCTACCCGCTCGTCTTTTGTTCTCAGCTCTAGTTGTGAGGCTGAGATCTACGCCACAGCCATGGCTGCTCAGGAGTTACGCTGGCTCACCTACCTGCTGACCGACTTGGGAGAGCGGCCTCGTTCTCCTCTAGTGCTGTACGTCGACAACAAGGCCGCCATTGCCTTGTGTGAGGAGCACAGACTGGAGCACAGAACGAAGCATATCGCTCTGCGTTACTTCCTGGCTCGAGAGTTGCAGCAGCGTGGTCAGCTTCGTCTTACTCACGTGGCCACTCGGGCCAACACTGCTTATATATTCACCAAGGCACTTCCGTCTGGTTATCATCCGCGCTTCTGTACTGTGCTAGACCTTGTGTCGGTTTCGTCTCACTTCGTGACTTTGCTTGTACTGTGATCTATATATATACCTGCATGCTTGCTATTGCTAGGTAGTGATCAGTGTACTGTTTCTGCTGCATATATGCCTCTGCATGTGAACTGGCCTAGTGGCCCATTGCTTGCGCTTGGAGTGTGTGGTAACGTTGTGATCCACCCTGAGCTTGCTTTGCTTTTCTTGACTGGTCTTGTGACCCCTTGTTCTCCCCCATTTTGCCTATGGGGGTGTGTCAAACTGTATATGTACTATTATGTAGGCTGTAGTGGGGTAGCCAATATGGGGTACAACCCTTTTAGGGTTTCTACTTGTACCAAACTCATCCATAGTTCATTCATTCCTGCTTCTAGTTTCAACAAATACCTATGTGACTGAAATCCAAGCTGGTGGGCTGACCGAAATCTGGGCTGGTGGGTAGGCTATGAGCTAAACATGGGCTGGTAGATAGCCTGTGAGTGACATCTGGGCTGGTGAGCAGTAAACGAGTGATATGTACGCTGGTGGTTAGGTTGTGAGTAAAATCAGGGTTGGGGGGTAGTCTGTGAGTGTAAAATTTAGGGAGTCAAAGGTTTGTCATAGAGTGAGGTGTGTAAACTGTACCTCTCGAAATACTAACTATGTGGGTGGCTCCGAAGTTGTTTCAAGGGCGACATGAACGGGCTGCGCAATGTTGGATCATCTAGTCTTGCACACGAACAATGGATACATAAAGCACGCCCCATAACACATACTGACTTTCGCATGTGGCATTGTTAGTGGATGAGATATAATAACAAACGTGCAACAAGTGCAAACAATGAAAACCCACATTAGTTTACCTGTGAATGATTAGATGGGGAAAAGGTGGCTTAGAGGATGTGCGACGCCACTCGGCGAAAATGTCCTTCGTCCATTGCCAATTCATCGGTCCGAGCACGCGATCTTTCTTCCCACGGCGCACACGAGTTACGCGACGAACCCGGATGATATGTCTCAGGACAAGGCGCTCAACAGTGTTGTTCTAATGAAGAATCGAGAGCACAACCCGTGCTTCCATGCTCCCCCCAAAACGTACTCTCTTCGGTGCATATTTGCAATTAACTAAAAGAAATGACTCATTCAGCCAGCTGGACGCCCCAAGCACGAACGGTCGCATCTTCTCTGCGGAACAATGCTTTTGTAACCATTTCCTGAATGCTAGATGTACGGCGCCACCGTACTCATACACTGGGCTCTCTGGACCCCACCCATCAACGACGCACCGTGGCACAATGCCATGCTGAGCGCATCCAGAGTGATCACCGGCCCAAAGCTCGGCCGATAGAGCAAGCTCCGTCTCGACGTCTTCCGCAGTCATGGTTCGGCCTTCTTTGGCAAGAGTAGCAGCCCGTGTCATCACATGATGAAAATGGATGCTGTACCGTTGGCCAAAACTCACTTTTTCGACAACTGTCATTTCATCCAATGAACCAACCCCCCTTTCCGCACTTGGTATCTCACTGGGCTTGTTGCGCCGTGTTCTTTTAGCCTTGCGAACCCATCGCCGTTCCCCCTCCATGGCAATCACACCCGTCTGAATAGTATCTCTCGTCGGAATGTCAACACTAGGACCCCCACACTCGCTCGTGTTTTTCCACCAACCACGGTTTCTGACTTCCTAAATCTCTGGACGAGTGGCGGTAACCTTATCTACACACAATACATGTGGAGAATGGGCAAACATGTAGGTTGACGTATTGTTATAGAACATCGAGAGCATATAAAGTGCCCAAGACACCGAAATGCTAGGTGTACAGACCCATACCAAAACTGGGAGGATCCTATGTTTTTCAAAACGACTTTTTCCTTTTTAACAATAAAAACACCAAGGGCGGAAATACGAACTCATACTCAGGTTCTTCACGAATTTGCATCGAGAATCGTACCTTGCTCCGTCATGTCCGCCCCAAGTCCAATGTTGCTGCCACTGTGTCCGATCGCCCCGCAACCTCCTTTGCCAGTAACAATGATGCATACGACGACGGGCGTATCCCATTCACAGGGTGCGGATCCCATGCGAACATCTCGGCCACGTCCTGAAAAATGATCCATTCTCCGTCAACGGTCGTATCTCCCTCAACGACTGCATCTCCTTCAACGACTGCATCTCCCTCAACGGCTGCATCTCCCTCAACGGCTGCATCCCCCGTAATGACTGCAGCTCCCTCATCCGCCGCTGCCATGGAGCAATCACACGCAGCTATAGCTGCGGCTATGTGGTTTGGTCCCGTAGCTTCCCCGCCCATCCGTACCACCATACGTCGCAAATCTGGGTGCTTGTACGACGCCTCCCCGCCCATCCCAGTGCTCTCCGCATTCAGCTCCTCCTTGCGATGGCACAAAACTGTAAACAAGTCCATGAATCGATGTCGCGTGAAGAGTATACAGCTCCCTTACGGTGGGCAGTCCAATCCCTCTCTTCTTTTGCCGCACCGATGCGGCATGCGCATCCACTCCCGCCGTAAACGCTGCCCTGATACCATCTCCCCGAACCCCTGAACCACATGCATACATAGATTCAACACTCATTCCGCAGCCAATACGCATAACGCAACATAGAAGCTTGGAAAGACATCAGTATATGCTCCTTTTGCAGCTTCCAGTAGATGCTCCACCAGAATTGGAGCAGCTTCTATTAACAACAGTGCCATATCATTGTCCCGAGGCACCAAGCCACCACCCATAAGGCTTGCTAACCTGCGTCGTAGGTTGGCCCATGGTGCAGTCAAATGGCCTCTGAGTGAAACCTTCTTTGGCAGTAGTGAGTGAATTACTAAGGCAGTAGTGAGTGAATTATTGAAGGAAGCAGTGAGTGAATTACTAAGGAAGCAGTGAGTGAGTCACCAAGGCATCAGGGAGTGAATTACTAAGGCAGTAGTGAGTGAATCACTAAGGCAGCAGTGGGGGTAAGAAGTAGGCAGCAATGAGTGGGATAAGAAGGCACCATTAAGTGAAATGAGGTGGCTGCTGTGAGTGAAGGTCAAAAGGCTGAACTGAGTGTAATCAAAAGGTAGTTGTGTGTGAAATGATTGGCCAGCAAAGAGTGAAACAAGAAGCGGTGGTAGTGTTTAAGCTATTAAGGCGTTAGAGGGTGCAGCAAGAATGCTGAAGTGAAAGTAACAAAAAGGCAGAAATAATAGTTGTATATGGCAACAGTAGTAGTTGGCATGATTGAGATGAGGTGGAGGTATATTTATTATGGAACTAAATGGCAGTATTGAGTGAAGTATATGGAAGCAGTTAGTGAAGTGGATGGCACTCTCAATGGGACATGGTTGAGTTGAGGGCCTTACCCCGCAAGAAGACGTCCTTGTCCTTGACAAGGCACTTAGCTGAGTGCCCAACAGTTGTCAGCCACGAGAGTGATGCTGATGATCTGTTGCGCATTGCTTGCTGTGAGGTGTAAGTTATTATTCGTGCTGCACGTAGCATGCAGTGGTAGGAGGAGGAGAGGCAGACTGTGAATGGGACTGTGTGCTCGATTGAATGCATGGAACCACATTCCCGCCCGTTAGTGTACCTATCAAGGGTGTTAGCATGCAGCAACAGTGCGTCTGTTCTGGGAGGCACAATGATGGTGTCGGCAACCCTCCTGCACAGCAGCGAGTAGTGTGAGGGCGGGGAGTGAGAGAGGGAAAAGGGGAGACAAGGGCGCAAAAGGCAATGCGGGGCAAGATGGGGAACACGGAGTGACCTAAGAGCGGCAGTACAGCGGCTGCACCCGCGTCTCCAGGCTTTGAGTAAGAAAAAATACTGGCAGGTGCAAGGCGATGCCCCGAGAGGGGGGCAGCAGCGTCTATCACGCAAGTGAAATGGAGAGATAGAGTGGAGGATACGCTCATTCGCGGGCGTTGGTAGAGCGGCACCTGATCTACGAGGTTATGGGTAGAAGCAAATTTTTGTAGTTGCCGTGCCAATTGTGTGGGGGGGGGAAGGGGAGGAAACTGGATGTCTGGTGGAACGGGAATCTCGAGACAGAGTTAAGGACTTTGCGCCACCCGTGAGCTAGCGGTGGAAGAGACGCAGCATCCGCACTGCCACTTCTTGCATGAGAGCACACACTTGCAAGTGTAGGGCCCTGCGCTGCGGGCGATTCGGGTGAGGTCGGGAGGTGGGGGCCAATTCAGGGAGGCGAATGATATCTTGGAGTGGGGCTAGGTGTTGAAGTATGGCTGGAAGCATGTGCATTGCACAAGCACATCACACACATGCAGATGGAGCAGGTAGGGTGGCTGAAGTACTCAGGCATTTCACACGCCCATATCATCACTCTCGTGCCACCCACCTCTTATGACTCAAATTCGGCCAGGTGTGTCGGACTCTTTCGAGGAGCATCCTAGAGAGCCTGTGTGCCTGCGTGAGCACCTGAAGTGCATCATGACTCGCACGCACGTTGCTCGAGAGAAGAGAGAACGAGACTCACTCGGATGTTCATGGAGGGTTCAGTCACGACGACAGGCGAGCTGACAGCCCGAAACAGCCGGTTAGGGACAATGCAAAGGCCCCACGAGGAGGTGGGGTCGGACTCCTTGATGGTGACAACAAGAGAGACAGTGGCGGCCTTGAGGGCCACCCACCCCACCACTGATGTCACAACCAACGTGATGTTATGCTTGCATAGCCTGCCGCATTAGGAGGGAGGGAGGTTGATGGGAACTGGATTTGAGAGGGGGAGGGGGAGAGGAGGAATAGCAAAGGGAGAGGAGAGAGGGGGGACAGGTAAAGAGGGGGGGTGGAGAAAGGGTGTCAGTACGAGGTGGGACTCGTGGATGATGATGACGAATGCGACAGATGGTGTTGTGCGCACTATCACACCATAGTGGTGCGCAGGTAGCAGCAGGCCGCTTGTTCCTACCTTGTTTTCTAACTGTCAGCGTGTGAGGGTTCACCCACATGGAAACGCATTCCTGCATGGGGCATGCACCAAGGACCGTCACAGCGCGACGGGTTGCATTTCGCGTGCCTACTGCCCGTCAAACATCGACGCTCCCCCTGTCACGCGGCTGGCACCATAACAAAGACTTACAGCATTTCGCGCGCATGCTGCCCGTCAAATCGCGTCTACGAGAGGCATTCTGCATTTCGCGCGCATGCTGCGCGTCTAAGAGCGGCGCGCAGCATTCCGCACGTCTACTGCTCGTCTAAGAGAGGCGCGCAGCATTCCGTGTGCCTGCTGCGCGTCTAAGAGAAGCGCTAAGCATTCCGCGCGCCTGTTGCGTGTCTAACAGCGGCGCGCAACATTCTGCACGTCTGCTACGCGTCTAAGAGAAGCGCGCAGCATTCCGCGCGCCTGCTGCCCACCAAGCACCGCATTCCGCGCGCCTGCTGGCGTCGGGCATTTCTATTGCTGTATCCATACCTCACGGTATTGTTGGACACCCGCCTATCGTCGCGTTCTTCCCAGTTAGGCTGTACGCTTCGCTTGAATGAACCCTCCCCCACTCGCCGACCGTACGAGACTATTTGATGGCTACGAAACAGTGTTGCGGCAATTCTGAGGGAGTCAATGCTAAGCGAAAATGGTATGTTTAGTCTTGGCAGGCTGTTCAGACGGGATAGTGAGCTAGACTCGTACTCGGATTTCGCCTGTTGTAGCCCGCCTTACTCCCACGTAAACGTTGCGACCTCTCCCCTCTGCTGTGTCACCACAAAATTTGGTGGTTTTTACGCTATATTCATGCACAATACGTGTAAAACTATATTGATGTTGTGTTGTATAGGCTGTAGTGGGGTAGCCCATAAGGGGTACAACCCAAATTAGGGTTAGCATTTGTACCCACTTCTGTTCTCAATGCACTCATTCTGCTGTTAGCTTTGACATGGTTTCAGAGCAGGTCCTGTTCCAGGACCGTTCTCGTTGGGCCCATCGATCGTACCCTGCCCGTGTCGCTGCCCCACCCGCCGCGCTGCCTTGCCCTGCGTAGTGCTGCCCGCGCTCGCTCTGCCCTGCCTGCGTCGCGCTGCCTGCACACGCCCTGCCTGCGTCGCGCCCCACCCGCGCACGCCCCTGCCCCGCGTCGCGCTGCCTGCGCGCGCCCAGCCCTGCGTCGCGCCGACCCGCGCACGCGCTGTTCTGCCCGTCGCGCAACCCGCGCGTGCGCTGCCCGCGTTTGCCCTGCCCTGCCGTCGCGCGGCCCGCGCACGCCCTGCCCGCCGTCGTGTCGCCCGCGCCTGCCGTCCCCCACGTCGTGCCGCCCCGCGCACGCACTGCCCTGCCCGTCCCGCGGCCCGCGCACGCCCTGCCCGCGTCGCGCAACCCGCCCTGCCCTGCCCTGCCCGTCCCGCGGCCCGCGACCGCCCTGCCCGCCGTCGCGTCGCCCCTGCCTGCCCGCGCGCAGCCCTCGGCAGCAGCGCGCCGCCTCGCCTGCCGCGCACTGCCCTACCAACTGCGCGCCGCCCCTGCCAGCCCGCGCGCAGCCCTCTGCAGCCCGCGCGCCGCCTTGTCTGCCCGCGCCGCCCTTGTCTGCCCGCGCGCCGCACCTTTGCCTGCCCGCGCACCGCCTTTGCAGCCCGTGCGCTAACGTTTCTGCCCACGCACTGCCCTGCCCTGCCCTACGCGCCACCCTGCGCTAATACGCTATGGCCACTCCAAAAGTTCTCGAGTTTGACACTGAGGGCCGTCCTGTCAAGTTCGAGACTTGGCTTCAGGACCTGCAGCTGTACCTGCTGAGCGATTCTATAGACAATACGACCTTACGTCTGGAGCCTCTCCTGCCCCTCCCGACACAGCTGACAGTGCGACTCGCTCACAGTGGCTTACCCGTGACGCTGCTGCTCGCCTAGCCGTTCGCAACCACCTGCCGATAGCCGAACGTGAGCGCTTTGACCAGGCTAAAACTGTTAAAGCCCTGTACGACGCTGTAGTCGCCCGCTACTCTTCCCCTGCCACTGCAGCTCTCGGCCACCTCACGCTACCCTACCTTTTTCCCGACCTGTCCTCCTTCGCTACTGTAGATGACCTCCTCACCCACTTTCGCGCTATGGACACTCGCTACCGTGCTGCCCTTCCAGCCGAGTTTGTCACCAAGAACGAGCCCCCGATTTACATCACTCTCTACTTTATAGTCACTCGCCTCCCTTACTCTCTTAGCGCAGTCCGAGACACCCTTCTCGCGCTTCGCCCCACAGACCTCACTATCGACCTGCTCGAGAAGCACCTCCTTGCAGCTGAGACCAACATAGACGCTGTAGGTGCTACTCGTGGCACTCCTCGCACGCCCTTCTTTGAGGGGTGCTCCCCCTCCCCCCTTGCCCCCTCTGTTGCTTCTGCTGCTGCTGTCGACTTCCTTGGTGCTGAGGAGGTCGGTGCTGCTTCTGCTCCTAGTGGGAAGCGCCGCAGCGGCAAGGGCAAGGGAGGCAAGAGTGGTGGGGGTGGCGGGGGGGGGGGGGGTGGTGGTGGAGGCGGTGGGGGTGGCAGAGGTGGAGGTGGGAGTGGTGGCGGGAGTGGGGGCGTCGGTGGCGGCGGTGGAGGCAGCAGTGGGGGTGGTAGTGGTGGTGGTGGCGGCAGTGGGCGTGGTGGCGACGGTGGTGCTGGCGGCGGGAGTGGAGGCGGCGGCAGTAGTGGTGGTCGGCCTGGAGCGGTTCAGCGGCAGCAGCAGCAGCGTCCCTGTGAGACCCTTACGCCCCAGCAGCTTCGTGAGTGGCTTTTTCAGCGTGGGGCGTTTGGGAGTAGTACTGGTCGCTGCCCGTACGTCATTCGCACAGGTGACCGTGGTGGTCGGACGTGCGGGAAATTTCACACCCAGCACCGCTACTCCTCCCGTCTAGACGACGCTTGGCGCACTGAGTTCGGCGAGGAGGTTGAGATGCCTTGCTAGGCAGAGCTGCTTAGGTCTGGTGTTGATATCTTTGCTCTTGACTTTGATGCTATCATTGCTGGCATGCATGTTGTGACTGTTAGTGCTGAGGGTGACTGTTACTTGTGTGTGCCGCCTGACCCAGGTATAGAGGCTGCTGCTCTAGGTGCTGGTGAGTTTGCTCTTTCTGGTACTGCGCCCGCTGAGGCCTTGCACACCTTCACGCTTGACTCAGGTGCTTCTCGCTGTTTCTTTCGTGACAGTACCACAGTCACACCACTCATTAGACCCGCTGCGGTTTCCCTGGCTGACCCCTCTGGGGGCCCGGTTCTTGCACAGTCGGCGGTTCCGTCCAACTCACTGTCAGGTCTCCACCTCCCCTCGTTCTCGGCAAACTTGGTGAGCACCGCAGTCCTTCAGGATGCAGGGGTTGATACCTTTACCCCTGGAGGCCAGCGTGTGGCGATCTGTACGTGCTCTCGGACTGGCCGTCACCTGGCCACGTTCACCCGTCGGCCTGGGTCGAGTCTGTACACACTGACTACTGAGCCTCAGGTCGCTGCGTCTGCTCAGGTGTCCGCGTCAGGTCAGGTAGCAGCCCCCTGTGAATGTTGCCTCCTATCGCACCAGACTCTCCTTTGGCACCACCGCCTTGGTCACCCCTCCCTGCCACGCCTTCGTGGCATGCACTCTCGCCTCCTGGTCTCTGGTCTTCCCAGGTCTCCGCCTTCCCTCCCATCCTCGCCTACCCCGCCTTGCATTCCTTGCGTCGAGGGGCGGCAGCGCGCCGCTCCTCACTCCTCCTCGTTTCCCCCGACGACTGCTCCTCTGCAGACTCTCCACATGGACGTGTGGGGCCCAGCCCGCGTCCTTGGATTGGGCCGCGAGCGTTACTTTCTGCCTGTTGTCGACGACTACTTGCGTTACACCACGGTCTTCCCCTTGCACACCAAGGGTGAGGTCCCTGCTGTCTTGATCCCTTGGATCCGAGCTGTCCGTCTCCAGCTGCGCGAGCGGTTCCGCACGGACCTTCCTGTCCTGCGTCTGCACTCTGACAAAGGTGGTGGGTTCTCCTCCGACCTCTTTAGGGACTTCTGTCAGGGGGAGGGCATCCTCCAGTCGTTCACGCTTTCGGCCTCCCCGCAGCAAAATGGGATTGCTGAGCGCCGCATTGGCTTAGTCATGGAGGTGGCTCGTACCTCCATGATCCATGCGGCTGCTCCCCATTTCCTGTGGCCGTTTGCGGTCCGGTACGCCGCACATCAGCTCAACCTCTGGCCTCCTTGCCGGAGACCTCGCCTACACTGCGTTGGACAGGGGAGGTTGGCGATGCGCCGGTGTTCCGGGTGTGGGGTTCTCGTGCCCTTGTCCGCGATACATCCGCGGACAAGCTCTCCTCTCGCACCATTCCCTGCGTCTTGCTTGGCTTCCCCCCCGACGCGCCTGGCTGGCAGTTTTACCACCCTATCTTGCGCCGGGTTTCCCCCTCTCAAGACGTCACGTTTGAGGAGTCGGTTCCCTTTTACCGTCTCTTCCCCTATCGCACTGCCCCTCTCCCCCCCCCCCCGCCGCTCTTCCTCGCTCCAGGTCCCCCTCCGGTAGACCCCCTCCCCCCTCAGGGTCCTGCTCCCCTTGGTTTGCCACGTTGGCGATACTAGCGCAAGATTATGACTTGCTACTAGTGGCGTCGTGAACGCATGCATCGTAGTCGTGTAGCCCCGGCCCCTCTTGAAATTCAAGTGGTCCCAGTTCAAGAGGACAATCTGAGTTTCGTGCTCTGTTCAACGCAAACATTGTTTCCCGCTCTATGAAATCTGGTGTACGAGAGGGTATGAGCGACTTGTGTCGGTCGCCGCAACCAATTACGAAGTCTAGTGCAGACTCAACCTATCGCAAGCCAATCATGTTAAGCGCACTTTGTTGTTACTGCCCTTTCTGAAATCAGACCGAACTGTGATTTTCCTGCTCACCCAAAGCCGAGCTAGTATGGGCCCTTTCAAGATGGGACGGGGTTCACATTTTTGCCCTTTCGTTTTAAGAGTTGCGTTACTTTAGGAATGTCTTTGAACAATTCCATATCGTAACAATTCCGGCGCCGAGGCTGCCCCGCATCGCCTTCAGCTTTCCGTTCGCCAAACCTGCACCGAGCCTTGTTTTCCCGAGGTTCCCTCCTAGCTAGGGTAATCACTATATTAGCGCGTGCCTTCATCGGGGTGCGATGTTCGAGGGGTTGCAAGACCCGCCTTTCTCAGGTCTCATCCCCTTCCTGAGCATCTTCTATGGGTCGCCCAGCGACCTCTACCTGAGGGCAGGCCCTTTTGTGGAGACACTGGTCTCTGCAAGGAGGTCAAGACAGGGAGACCCATTGGGCCCTTTCCATTTTGCATTCGCGCAGCAGCAGGCCATGGAGCCGGTCATCAAGGATTTTGCCGACGATACCTACATTTTGGGTCCTGGTGATCGGATATTGCATGCATTTGACGTGCTGCGGGAGCAGTTGGAGTTAGTGGGATTGCAAGTGCAGGCGCGTAAGTGTTGGTTTTGGGAGTGGGGGGGGGGCCTGATCTAGAGGAGTGGTTGCCACCTGGCATGCAGCGGACGGAGGAGGGTTTGACGGTAGTTGGCGTTCCGATTGGGGATGAGGACTGGGAGGTTGTTTGGTTACGGGAGCGGCTAAAGCAGTTGTAGACGTCTACCCCTCCCTTGGCTCCCGTTGCTCGAGCATCTCCAGATGGCGGCGCATCTTCTGGCCATTGCCGTGTCGGCACGACCTATGTACCTTGCTCGGACGGTGCCACCACGACCAGAGGTGGTGGAGGCGTTTAGGGAGTGGGACAGCAGGGTGGAGAACTGTTTTGAGCAGCTTTTTCCTCCGGGCACATGGGAGCACGACCCTGGTCGGTCTAGGTTGGCCCGTCTGCAGTTGCACCTCCCAGTCCGTCTGGGTGGTTTCGGTGTACGGGCTGCGGCGTCTTTGAGCCCACTCTCCTACGCCTGTGGATGGACGCAGGCGGCGCGAGGGGTGGCTCAGTTGGGGACAGCGGGAGAGGAGGCGATGTTTAAGGACTACCTCAGCCCTTCGGGGGGGGGGGGGGGGGGGGGGGGGGATGATTTTCTCGACCCGTGGTTCTCCAAGAGCCTCGAGCAGCTGCCTGGCGCTGTACGCCAGGAGATGCCGGGTCTCCACCTCTGCGTAGCGGCCCCACCAGTTCGACTTTTCCACACACGGCAACGGTTGTTAGCTGTGGAGGAGCTCCAGTCCAGACCCTCCGTCGTATGGCCCGTGACGATGCTACCCTGACCCGTTTCACATCCCTTCAAGGCCCGGGAGCTGGTGCTTGGGTCTTGGCGGTGCCTGCACATCCAGATTTGACCTTTACAGCCGCTGAGTGGGGCATTGCCGCGGCTGTGCGTTTGGGCCTTCCGATTCAGCAGCTGCACGTCGCGGGCCGTTGCATTTGCGGCACCGAGTACATGGACCCAGCAGATCCACACCATGCATTGCGCTGTAAGCACCAGCACGGGCAGTCGCGGATGCACGACGAGGTGAAGTTAGCGGTGGCTAGGATTGCTAAGGCGTCGGGATGGGTGGTGTCGATGGAGGACGACTCGATGTTGGTAGGGAAGCAGGTGGATGTGTCAGAATGTGATATTTGTCTAGCCTGCAGTGGGGTACTCTATAGCGAGTATAGCCCAAATTAGGGTTTGCTATATGTACTCAACTGCCTGCTAGTGCAACCCCTCTTTCCTGTTTCTAGTTTCTGCCTATAGTTTCTGACATGCTATCAGAGCAGGTCGACCCTCCTGGGTCGATCCTGTGGGTGGGCCCACCGTTAGCTTCCGCTGCTGTCCTGTCTGTCGCGCGCCCCGTGGCGCGCGACGTTTTTTCTTCCCGCCACGCGCTCGGAGCGCATGGCGGTTTTCTGCTCGCCGCGCCCACGGAGCGCGCGGCGGTTTTCTGCCCGCCGTGCGCCCCGAGGCGCGCGGCGGTTTCCCACCGTCGAAGCGCCTCCGGGGACCTGCGCGTTGCCCCCCGTCGCCCGTCGAAGCGCCCCTGGGACCCGCGCGCGGCCCGTACGACGTGCGCCAGGCCAGTGCGCGGCCCGTACGGCCTGCGCCAGGCCCGCGCGCGGCCCGTACGACCTACGCCAGGCCCATGCGCGGCCCGTACAGCCTGCGCCAGGCCCGCGCGCACCTGCCCTGCCGTGCGCGCACCCGCTCTTACCCCATGCTACCTGTGTTAGGGTTTCGGGGTGGAGAGTAAGGGGGTGACGTGTGTGTGTGCCGTCCCCTGCTCCTCCTCCTCCTCCGTCTCCCACTGCTGCAGCTGCCGCTGAGGGGGGTGGATGTGTTGGAGCCGTCGGAGTGGTACGAGGGGGGTGGCGTGTGAGCAGTGCTAGAGGTACAGCAGGGGGTGTGTGAAAGGGGTGTGGGACAGCTGGGGGAGGTTGAGTGGAGGCAGCCGTCTTGTCGTCCGCAGCGCCTGTAGTCCAGAGAGCCAGCTGCGCCTGTCGCCGTGTAGTCCGGGGCTCTGCGCCTGGTAGCGACAGTGCTGCGCACTCCTGGGAGCACAGAGAGCCAGCTGCGCCTGTCGCCGTGTAGTCCGGGGCTCTGCGCCTGGTAGCCACAGTGCTGCGCACTCCTGTTGCCCGTGTGTCTGCAGCTTCAGCCGTCGCCTCCCATCTTCTCGCCCCCACAGTTTCTCCTCCTCCTCACTTGCCCTCTATGATAGCTTCTAGCTTTGCTTATCATTGTGAACTATTGCTCTGCCTGCTTGTTGTGCTGATTATACCCCACTTTGACTATGGGGGTGTGTCAGAATGTGATATTTGTCTAGCATGCAGTGGGGTACTCTATAGCGAGTATAGCCCAAATTAGGGTTTGCTATATGTACTCAACTGCCTGCTAGTGCAACCCCTCTTTCCTGTTTCTAGTTTCTGCCTATAGTTTCTGACAGGATGTTGCGGTGCGCCGACCAACGGCGGGGAAGGCGCATGCTTTGGAGGTCAGTGTTGCCGACCTACTGCCCTGTCTCCAACCTTGGTCGGGCAGTGTGGGCGGTCCATAGGAGATTACGCGCCGCTGTTAGCGCACAACCGGGGAGTGCAGTTCACTCCTTTGATTTTCCTCTTATCTCATGGGATCCTTGAAGGCTATGATTGGGGCGACCTTACAGCGTGCCCAAGCTCGAGTCATTCAGCTGCGCGCTGCATCGTCTATGGGAGGCGCAGATATCGACCTGGTGGATAGGGAGAGGGAGGATACTGAGGAGTTGGGGGGGGGCACTATGGGTGGACGCTCAGTATTTGGTGTCTGCCCCAGTTTGAGGGGCGTCGGGGGGGGGGGGAGGGGGGGGGGTAGGTGAATGGGGCTTTTAGCTATGGTGTTTTCTTGGGGTGTCATCTGTGTTGGGCTTTTGGGTCTCTCTTGGCTTTACTTTCCCTATTCCTTTCCTTTCCCATTTCCTCCCTTTCTTCTCTTTCTCTTTTTTCTCTTCCCGTCTCCATTTACCTTTTCTGCGAGTATGTTTTGCTTGTACACAACTGGGATGTAATGTAACGTGGTGTGCTCCAAGGCGTGCCCAGTTCCCTTCATTGTATTGTTAGTTCATTGAGTCAGAGCCTAGGTATTCGTTCACTCTCTTTTACAACCCATAACACCTTACGTCATTTTGCCTTACATGTTTTCAACTTTATCATTTCAAATCCATTGCCATCCATCCCATCAAGTCGCGAAATTCGAGGCCAAATGACCAGAGCATTTTCTCACAGCACTAGCGTCTGCTGCCTGTCGCTGGTCATGTCACATTCTAGGGACGATCGCCGCACCACCTGCTTGCACGCGTGTCGGAACCACCACCTGCCACGCTCTCATTCGCTGCCTGGCCTGCTCCACTGGTTCGGATACGCCGCGTTCGCTATGGTTCAAACCGCTCTTATATTCCTCCCGCGTCGCCGTGTTCGCAGGGCCACTGCCCACACGGCAGCAGATATTGTGGCAGTGACGGGCAAAGTCATTGTTTCGTTCACGCCAAGTTACTGCTTTCCTCATTTGTTTTGCTTTCCCCTCCTCCCTTCTCTCGCTCGCACCACGCTCGTGCCGCATGCGGCCTGCCGTAGTCGCATCGGTCGCGCGCCAACGGCATGTCGCCCCGCAGTCCCCCGTCCATATCCGCCCTCTGTCGCCCGCTTCATGCCACCGAAGATGGCGCGCGCGAGAGTGAGGGGGCCGGCGGGCGGCCAGTGGGTGAGCGGCAGCGGTGGTGGCGCGCGCGATGGCGCGAGGCGGCGGTGGCGGGGGCGCGGCCGCAGGAGCGATGGGGGCACTCCGCCGTGGCGTGGGATGGCAAGCTGATCGTGTTCGGGGTGAGTGGTGGTGTGCGGGCGAGTGCAGGTGAGAAGCCGTGGTGGTGCAGTGGAGAGTCAGCCGTGGCAACATGTGTTGCCGCTGCTGCGTGCTTTGAGATCACCTGACTGCGCTGACGTGCAGGGCGTAGGTCCGGGTGGGAGGGGTAGGTCTGAGTGAAAGGGGTGGGTTTGGGTGGGCCAAAGGGAGAGGGAGGGATGGGTGGTAGCGCGGCGTGGCGAGGATGCGGATTTGACGTCGCCATCTGCTGCTTCCGTGCGCCATCTGCTGCTTCCGTGCGCCATCTGCTGCTTCCGTGCGCCATCTGCTGCTTCCGTGCGCCATCTGCTGCTTCCGTGCGCCATCTGCTGCTTCCGTGCGCCATCTGCTGCTTCCGTGCGCCATCTGCTGCTTCCGTGCGCCATCTGCTGCTTCCGTGCGCCATCTGCTGCTTCCGTGCGCCATCTGCTGCTTCCGTGCGCCATCTGCTGCTTCCGTGCGCCAAACGCATCCTCCCAATCTCTGTCTTACTAAGACCCTCACCCTCCCTTCCCCCTCGCCCCTGCGCATGTCCGCAGGGGTGTTTCGGCGCGCAGCACTTCTCCACCGTGCTCGCCCTCGACCTCGCCACCCTCGCCTGGGCGCCCCTGTCGGCGCATGGCGCGCTGCCCCCGCCCTGCGACTGCCACTCGGCGTCGCTGCTGTCTGGCGGCCGCATGCTCGTCTTCGGCGGCACCGACGGCCGCCGCCGCCTCGCCTGCTCGCACCTGCTGCACCTGCCGTCCAAACACTGGCAACGCGTGGGGGGCGGGGCAGGGGGATGGGAGAGGAGGGCAGGGTATGTGCAGGGTGGGAGTGTGAGTGAGGTGGGTGGTGCCATGGAGGAGGGGGGAGTGGAGGGGAGTCAGGTGCAAGCAGGCGGCGAGAGAGGGCAGCAGGGGGGCGGGGGGGAGGTGGAGAGTGGCGTGAGCTGCATGGACGAGGCGGTGGTGACAGCGAGGCAGGTGGGGAGGGAGGGAGAGGGGAGGAGGCGGCAGGTGGAGAGGCGGGGCAGTGACGGGTCGCACGTGTCGAGCAGCAGTGTGGTGCGGCATGGGGGCGAGGGCGAGGGGGGCGAGGGGGGCGAGGGGCTGGTGTGGGGCACGAGGCAGGGCAGTGGCGGCGACATGGACGTGGACGGCACCCCGTGCGGGCGGGGTCCCGTGCACCCTGGCACGTGGCATGAGTTGAGCGCGCTTGCTGCTGCACACCCCCCCGCCAGGGAGAGTCACGCAGCAGCAGTTGTGTGGCTGCCACGGCGCAAGGGGTTGAAGGCGCGAGGGGGAGGGGGTGCGGTGGAGTGGCGAGAGACTGTGCTGGTGTTCGGCGGCAGTGGGGACGCGGAGGGCGGTGATGGTATGGATGGGAGCGCGGGCATGGAGGGGTGGAGGGGGGGGGAGCAGAGAGGCGGGGAAGGGGAGGGAGGCAGCAGAAGCGAGGGGGGAGGCAAGGGGCGGTACCTGAACGACCTGTGGGCGCTGGACGTGCCCTCCATGACGTGGCGCCGCCTCCATGCGCCCCACTCACTGCCGCCCGCCACCCATGCGCCACATGGCCCGTCAGGGGGCGTGGCACGGAACCCCCCTCCCTGTGCGCGCGACAGCCACAGCATGGTGGTGCTGGGTGGGGCGCGCGAGCAGCAGGTGGCGGTGGTGTTCGGCGGCGACTGTGGCGCGCGCTACCTCAGCGACCTGCACGTGCTGCACGTCCATGCCCTCTCCTGGCACCACGTGCGTGCCCTTGGGCATGGGGTGTGAGGGGGTGTGCTGTGAGGGGGTGTGCTGTGAGGGGGTGTGCTGCGAGGTTACACGTAGGGCGTATGTGGGGTGGGAAGAGAGCAGGGAGGGGCGGTTGGGGAAGGTGGTGTGGGGAAGTAGGGAGTGTAAGTGGGGGATGTATTGGGCAGGGGGCAGATATGGGCAGGGGGCAGATATGGGCAGGGGGCAGATATGGGCAGGGGGCAGATATGGGCAGGGGGCAGATATGGGCAGGGGGCAGATATGGGCAGGGGGCAGATATGGGCAGGGGGCAGATATGGGCAGGGGGCAGATATGGGCAGGGGGCAGATATGGGCAGGGGGCAGATATGGGCAGGGGGCAGATATGGGCAGGGGGCAGATATGGGCAGGGGGCAGATATGGGCAGGGGGCAGATATGGGCAGGGGGCAGATATGGGCAGGGGGCAGATATGGGCAGGGGGCAGATATGGGCAGGGGGCAGATATGGGCAGGGGGCAGATATGGGCAGGGGGCAGATATGGGCAGGGGGCAGATATGGGCAGGGGGCAGATATGGGCAGGGGGCAGATATGGGCAGGGGGCAGATATGGGCAGGGGGCAGATATGGGCAGGGGGCAGATATGGGCAGGGGGCAGATATGGGCAGGGGGCAGATATGGGCTCGATGCTCTGCTTGCCACTCGTGTTGACACCGTGCTTACCACTATGGCTATCCTGCCTACCAATGCTGCTAATGCTTGTTCAACACCCTGCTTGCTACGCTGTACTGCACACTCCTCTCCTTCCCCCCCGCCCCCCACCGATGCGTCCCTCTCGTTCTCCCCACCATACACATCCCTCACTCGCATGCTGTCTCCCTCACAGATACCGGCACCACCGGGAGCGGACTGGCCGGCGCCAAGAGCAGCCCACAGTGCCGTGGCCCTCACGCCCTCCCAGGTACGCACTGCACTGCGCCTTGTGCTGCCATTGGGAGCCCGTTGCTGCGTGAGGAACTGCTGTGCTGTCAACTGGCAGCTTCGCCCCTTTACCTTCCACTTGGGCCCCGCCTAGCTTTCGCCCTCTTGTCTGCTGTGCCGCCCTGCCTTGCTGTGCCGCCCTGCCTTGCTGTGCCGCCCTGCCTTGCTGTACCGCCCTCCCATGCTGTGCCGCCCTCCCGTGTTGTGCCGCCCTCCCGTGCTGTGCCGCCCTCCCGTGCTGTGCCGCCCTCCCATGCTGTGCCGCCCTCCCATGCTGTGCCGCCCTCCCTTGCTGTGCCGCCCTGCCTTGCTGCGCCGCCCTCACAAGCATCCTCCGTCCCCCCTCCGCCCACCTATTTTCTCTCCACTGAGCCCTTCTTCTGCCTCCCCTGTCCCTCTTCGCATGCTCGCTTCTCTCCGCCCTCACCACATGTGATGGAACGAAGGCACCACATGTGATGGAACGAAGGCACCACATGTGATGGAACGAAGGCACCACATGTGATGGAACGAAGGCACCACATGTGATGGAACGAAGGCACCACATGTGATGGAACGAAGGCACCACATGTGATGGAACGAAGGCACCACACAACACAACACAACACAACACAACACAACACAACACAACACAACACAACACAACACAACACAACACAACACAACACAACACAACACAACACAACACAACACAACACAACACAACACAACACAACACAACACAACACAAGACAAGACAAGACAAGACAAGACAAGACAAGACAAGACAAGACAAGACAAGACAAGACAAGACAAGACAAGACAAGACAAGACAAGACAAGACAAGACAAGACAAGACAAGACAAGACAAGACAAGACAAGACAAGACAAGACAAGACAAGACAAGACAAGACAAGACAAGACAAGACAAGACAAGACAAGACAAGACAAGACAAACAACACAACACAACACAACACAACACAACACAACACAACACAACACAACACAACACAACACAACACAACACAACACAACACAACACAACACAACACAACACAACACAACACAACACAACACAACACAACACAACACAACACAACACAACACAACACAACACAACACAACACAACACAACACAACACAACACAACACAACACAACACAACACAACACAACACAACACAACACAACACAACACAACACAACACAACACAACACAACACAACACAACACAACACAACACAACACAACACAACACTACACTATTGTGCAGCCTTTCTTCGCTCCCATGACCTCCATCTCTGCACCTTCCACTTCCTGCCTTACCCCCGTGTCTATCCCTCCCATCCGCCCCTCCTCTGCCGCGCAGATGCTGCTGCTGGGAGGGGTGGGCGACGCTGGCTACTTCAGTGACACGTGGCTCTTTGACCTGCCCTCTGCCACGTGGCACCAGCTGCATCCACCAATCACAGCCGGCCCTGCCCTGCTGGCATCACACGAGTCGAAGGTGGAGCAGGCGGAAGCAGAGGCAGCAGCAGCGGAGGAAGGGGCAGCGGAGGAAGGGGCAGCGGAGGGGGAGGGGGGGCAGCAGCCGCGGGCGTGCTTCTCCCACACGGCCACGCTGCTGCCTGACGGCCGCACCGTCGCGCTCTTTGGCGGGTAAGATGGGCGCTCTTTGGCGGGTAAGATGGGCGCTCTTTGGCGGGTAAGATGGGCGCTCTTTGGCGGGTAAGATGGGCGCTCTTTGGCGGGTAAGATGGGCGCTCTTTGGCGGGTAAGATGGGCGCTCTTTGGCGGGTAAGATGGGCGCTCTTTGGCGGGTAAGATGGGCGCTCTTTGGCGGGTAAGATGGGCGCTCTTTGGCGGGTAAGATGGGCGCTCTTTGGCGGGTAAGATGGGCGCTCTTTGGCGGGTGGGATGGGCGCTCTTTGGCGGGTAAGATGGGCGCGGGGGAAGGGGAACGGGAAAGTGGGGAGGGGGGAGAAGCAGGGAGTGGAAACTAGGGAGGGAGGTGATGGAGTGCTTTCCATTGCTCTGCTCACCGTGATCGCGTTGCCGTCTCACTCGCCCTTCGCGTTGCTCTTCTCACTTCCCCTAGCTCCACCCTTCCCCCCCCCCTACCTGCACCAGGTATTGGCCCTCCCTCCTATTTCACCTCCTCGCACTTGCAGCCTTCTCTCTGCTACAGTCATTTTCTGTGCTGCTGCAATCCCTGCCTTGCTTGCTGCCGTTCGCTTGCAATACATGCATCTCCTTGCATGCATCTCCTTGCATGCACCTACTTGCATGCATCTCCTTGCATGCATCTCCTTGCATGCATCTACTTGCATGCATCTCCTTGCATGCATCTCCTTGCATGCATCTCCTTGCATGCATCTCCTTGCATGCATCTCCTTGCATGCATCTCCTTGCATGCATCTCCTTGCATGCATCTCCTTGCATGCATCTCCTTGCATGCATCTCCTTGCATGCGAGCTGTTCTCATCTCACCCTCCACCCTCCCCATACCTGTTCCCTTCCGCAACCCTCCCCATGCCCTTTCTCGCCTCCACCCTCCCCATGCATGCACTGCACTCTCCCCGCAGCTGTGGGCGTGACGAGCAGCCGTGCAGCGACCTCATGCTGCTGCACCTCGACTTCCCTGTAACCACCCACCCACCCTCGCCTGCACCTGCTTGCCGCACCACGCAGAGCATGGGATGTGTGCACAGAGCATGGCATGTGTGCACAGAGCAAGGCATGTGTGCACAGAGCATGGCATGTGTGCACAGAGCATGGCATGTGTGCACAGAGCATGGCATGTGTGCACAGAGCATGGCATGTGTGCACAGAGCATGGCATGTGAGCACAGAGCATGGCATGTGTGCACAGAGCATGGCATGTGTGCACAGAGCATGGCATGTGTGCACAGAGCATGGCATGTGTGTACAGAGCATGGCATGTGTGCACAGAGCATGGCATGTGTGCACAGAGCATGGCATGTGTGCACAGAGCATGGCATGTGTGCACAGAGCATGGCATGTGTGCACAGAGCATGGCATGTGTGCACAGAGCATGGCATGTGTGCACAGAGCATGGCATGTGTGCACAGAGCATGGCATGTGAGCACAGAGCATGGCATGTGTGCACAGAGCATGGCATGTGTGCACAGAGCATGGCATGTGTGCACAGAGCATGGCATGTGTGCACAGAGCATGGCATGTGAGCACAGAGCAAGGCATGTGTGCACAGAGCATGGCATGTGTGTACAGAGCATGGCATGTGTGAACAGAGCATGGCATGTGAGCACAGAGCATGGCATGTGTGCACAGAGCATGGCATGTGTGCACAGAGCATGGCATGTGTGCACAGAGCATGGCATGTGTGCACAGAGCATGGCATGTGAGCACAGAGCATGGTATGTGTGCACAGAGCATGGCATGTGTGCACAGAGCATGGCATGTGTGC